GGGGGGTGGGGGGGAAGGGGACATTTGTAATACTTTCAACAATAAAGATTTTAAAAAATATATATTTCTTTATTGATTTCAGAGAGGAAGGGAGAGGGAGAGAAAGAAACATCAATGTTGAGAGAGAATCACTGATTGGCTGCCTCTTGCACGCCCCCTAGTGGGGATCGAGCCGCAATCCAGGCATGTGCTCTTGGCCAGAATCGAACCCGGGACCCCTCAGTTCGCACGCCGACGCTCTATCCACTGAGCCAAACAGGCCAGGGCTAAAGATTTTTTTTTAAAAAAATCAAGGTGGCTGGGTTGGTGGTGGCGGAGACGGGTGGGGGAGATGAGGGGAACAATTTTGTTCCCTAAGGCACATTTGATAACATCTGGAGACCTTTTCGGGCGGACGCTACCGGCATCCTGTGAACAGAGGCCAGGGATGCCGCCACACAACCTACGAAGCCAGGACAGTCTTCGAAACAAAGAGGAGAAACCCTGAGCTAGAGGGACAATAGTTTCCCCAATTCCACATCTACCCCGGGGACCGTAAAATAAAAAGGAACAAAAATAATATCAAAAGTTCAGCCCGGCCTGTGTGGCTCAGTGGTTGGGCGTCAACCCACAGGAACCAGGAAGTCACAGGTTTGAGTCCCAGTCGGTGGGGGCACAAGCCAGGTTGTGGACTCGATCCCCAGGAGGGGGCGTGCAGGAGGCAGCTGACCGATGTTTCTATCTCTATCCCTCTCCCTCTCCCTCTAAAAATCAATAAAAACACATATATACTTTTTTAAAGTTCACGTTGTCTTTTTTGTCAGAATTCAAATATTTATACTTAGTTCCTACTTTTTACCGATAAAAGGTTATACTTTACAATTCTACGTTAGAAGAAAAAGAGCAGAAGGTCACTGAATTAAACACAGGAGAGACAATATCATGCTCCCCAAATAGAAACAGAACATTTAAATTACAATTTTAGTCACCGAGCAGAAAAGGATCATTAAAAATAATGGGCTGGCCCTGGCCGGTGTGGCTCAGTGGGTAGAGCGTCGGCCTGCAGACTGAAGGGTCCCGGGTTCGATTCCAGTCAAGGGCATGTACCTTGGTTGTGGGCACATCCCCAGTGGAGGGTGTGCAGGAGGCAGCTGATCGATGTTTCTCTCTCATTGATGTTTCTAACTCTCTATCCCTCTCCCTTCCTCTCTGTAAAAAATCAATAAAGTATATTTAAAAAATAATGATAATAATGGCTGGGTGGAGGCGGGCAAAGCAGGTGGGAGGGTGGTAATGGAGACATCTGTAATAGCGTCAACAATAAAAATAAGGAGAAAAAACCTCTCTGTCCTAGTTAGTGTCATTAAAAAACTATACCTAGGCTTTTCTGGAGGGCAAATTCCTTAAAAAAAAAAAAAAAGGTAAACTTTTTTAAAAAACCATCCAATATTTACCAACTCTCATTGCCAAGACATGCTTATTTCATATTAAATTTAAAAATTTCATCGGAAAGAATTTAATTCCAATTTTTAGGGGAAAAGAATAATGCTATTAGAAGAAAAAAATGTTCTGTACTGAAATCATAGTACTAAACACTCTCATATACTAATTATCAAAAATTACTTACTAGATCTAATTTATAGATTATAGTTTAAAAAAAAAACAACCTTTTCTGAAAATGACTGTAAACTTCCATTGACTGGCTATATTCATAAACTCTGGTCTAAAATGTATCCACAGATACACAGATCAATAAAACCCTTCAAGCCCTAGCTGGTGTGGCTCAGTGGATAGAGCGTCGGCCTGCGGACTGAAGGGTCCCGGGTTCGATTCCCGGTCAAGGGCACATGCCCGGGTTGCAGGCTCGGTCTCCAGTGCGGGGCGTGCAGGAGGCGGCCAATCAATGCTTATCTATCATCACGGATGTTTCTATCTCTCTCTCCCTTCCCTTTCCTCTCTGAAATCAATAAAAATATATTTTAAAAAATACTTTAAAAAAATAAAACCCTTCAGATGCTCGGTCTAGCTCTAGCTCATAGAGCAGACTTAGTATCTGCCAGGAAGCCGAAATAATTGTTCCTTGCAGATTAAATTGCGTGAAAAAGTTATTTCCTTACACGAGGCACTTA